TAATTTATAGTTGTAATTGAAATAATTCACTATTTATTTTGCCACAATTTGGTACTGCAGTACCCTTTTCTTGTGTATAATGTTCAGGAAATAATGCAAATTTTCTGAAAGATTATAAAGCAAGGAAGTTTTAACAGTTTTGTTAAACCTTTATTTTCAAAACCTGTGTTTTTGTTTTACATTCTTGAGCTTGACTGTTTTATAATGTTGAAAAATAAAACTGAAATCTGACCTTCAAAAGCTTCTTCTGCTTACAAGGTTTGCAGCACAAGCTGCAGTGTTATCAGAGAAAAACAAGCACAGAATTTTACATAGATTTACAAGCACCAGCTAAAACCTACAGTAACTGCCTCCATATTTTAAGAAGTCAAGCCAAGGTTACAGTGAGGAAAAAAGTTCCATAGTTGAAAAAACAAAGAAAAACAACAGACCACAAAATACTGAAAATCTGTATAATTACTTTAACACAATGGATCATTAAAATTAGTCTCTGACACAAATTCATTTGTGACCCCATTTGAAAGAACTAGGTCAGTGACTTATGCATTCCCTTAAATGCAGCAAACTGGCATAAGTAGTCAAATACGCAACTTGGGATGAAGCAATCTTTTATTTTACTAGCCACAATTTCTTTAATTCATGATCATAGTGCTTTAATAAAACACCAGGTACCAGCAATTATTTTCTATGTATTTTAAGTGCATAGAAAGTGTAGCTCTTTGATATTAAATTAAAAAAAGACATTTAGGCCATTAATCTGATACTAGGTTCTTTATACTGCTGATTCTTAAAGCATTAACAATGTGGAACACTCTTCATTGGTCCAGTGAATAATGATCAGCTAGGCACAGACTACTTCCAGTATTTCCCAGCAGAACACTAAAATAAATGTAAGGTCTTCTGGAAAGCTGATTGAAATTGTAATGAAAACCAAGCAAGAAACTGATGCTCTGATAGAATTACATTTAGCTGATGTCAGCAATCATCAAAACAGACTATTTAATCATTTTTACCAGTCAACACCTGCAAAAAAAAAAACTTGCACTGCACAGCATTAGAGTATTTGCATAAGTAGGCCAGATATCTCATTGCTCAGAATTCTAGTTTAAACAAAATGCTATGCTGATAACATCCTTACTCTTTAAAATCGTAAGAGATCTCTAAAAAGTCAAGTTATCTGTGAGACTGCAGAAAAACTGAATTATGTATCCCTTCATGGACTAAGTGACTGCAGATTGTGCTGTCTTAAGCTCCCAGGAATCTGAATTATATAAAGAATACAGAATATACTTTGCATATTCAAATAAGAGAGCATTTTTTATTTATGGTTTAACTTTCAAGACTTAGTTTAAGCCTTAAAAGTTTTAACTGCAAAATTGTAAGGTCTAAAGTATATTTTGGCAATATTTAAAGTACTTTTGTGTCTTCATAAGGACGCTGCCTGTAGATACACAAACCTACTAAATGATATAACACAAATGAACCAGAAAGAAAAGGTGTTTATAATAGTGTAAATGTGAAACACTAAAGTATATACATTAGTGTTATGGAATCTGATACAGTAATGATTTTCATACAACGCATTTATGTTGCAAGGTTTGCAACACAATTTTTAGGTTCCAGTGTAGTGCCAGGAAAAAAAAGTAAAATAGGGATGTAAAGTCTAGAACTTTCTTTCATCAATATTTTAACATTTTTTTAAAAATAATTTCAGTATCCAAAGAGAAGGCAGGCACCTGAACATATGGGTAAATCAAGGGCCTAAATTGTAACTGGATTAGACTCATAAAAAAAAATATTTTTCTGAGAATTCTACAAATGATCAGTTTCAGAAATCATATACAGTATAACACCTGTGAGATTTTCGTTTTTACACATTTAGATTGGGGGAAAAAGCTTTCTCAGAAGCTGTAACTGAAATAGCAGAAATGATTGCATTATGACTCCCTTACATTACTACAAGTAATGCCAGTGTTGATCCATCTTTTCAAACAATCAGAATAAGGAAGTGGCAAGCATTCTGGAAATATGATCCTAATGCAGTATGCTCTGAATTGTATTAAAGGATTGAGGGATGTTATTATACACCAAAACTATGCCAAAACTCTTTAAATCATAATATCCAAGATTGCTAATATACAGTAGCATCTATCCATAAAAGGCGTGATGACACCAAACCGAGTAATTATAGAGCAATACGTCTTGAAAGGTTACAGAAACAATAATCATGTAAACATTAATGGATTTATAGTGAGTTATATCCACATTCAAGAGAACAAGAAACAAAGCATATCATGTACTACTTTTTAAAAAATAATTAGAAAGTTTATGTTAAAGTTACACAAAAAATAATTTAAAAAAATAAATTGAAGATGAAATAAATATAAGGTAATGGGTGTATAAAGAGTGAAAAATGGGATGGAGAAAGCAAAGATAAGGAATTGTTGCTTGAACTGGGTATTAATCAGTGAAGTACCACAGGGATCTACTGATATACAAGTGATTATTTCAGTGGACAGAAAATATCAATTAAGATCCATTAACTGCCAAGTACTTGAAAGCAGTAAAGCAGTATTGAAAGCTAGGGCTTCCACATAGGAGTGACCTATGTGTTTGTGAAGAAAATAACATCCTGACATGCTTCGGATCACATATAAATATTCAGGACGGGTCAGGTGGTCTATAATTATAGCTAGCATGGTACAAGACCTCAGCAGTGACTTTGAAAGAGGGGTGAGAGTTGGGGTGTTTGGGCAGTGACCAAGACGGCTTAGCTTATGATGTTGCACAGCCAACTGTTTCAAAGGTAATGTCAACATGAGACGCTAAGGGAAAGAAGACATCACCAAGGGACAACAGGACATACTCCAGGATCATAATATTCATGCAATATTTTGAAGTCCAAGGCAAAACAAGCAAGCAAGTGGAGACCGCAAATTTCATCCAGATATGCGATTTGCTAGTTTAATTAAAAATGGACTGCAGAGAACTTCACAGAGCAGGATACTGTAGTTGAATTGCAATGCACAATCCACTCATCATACCAGCAATGGCTATTTGAGAATCCAATGGTGCAAAGATCCCAGGCAATGCACTGCTGAGCAGTGGAGAAATTGATATTGATGGATTTCATCCTACACCATGTTCTCAACAAACAGACCAGTGCAGAAAAAACTGTACAGCCCCGAGTGCTTGGCTCACACAGCAAACAGGACTGGTGGTTCTAGAATGTCATGGAACATATTTCTGCGGCATGGTTCTGGTGCATTCATTCCCTTAGAAGTCAAGGGCAATGGTAATCACTGCTTAACAGTATTGAACATACCTTCGCCTGCCAGGAGGGGTGTCTTCTAAGAGGATAATCCCCCTATCCACAGAGCAGATGTAGTCGCCTAACAGTTGGATGAGCATGACACTGATGTTACCCATAAGTCATGGCTTTCTGAACCCCCTCAAGCATTTTGGGATGTAATAGAATGAAACCTGAGATTCTATTGTCATCAACCAGGTGTGAGTTAATCTCATAGAATAATGGTGCCCCATCCCTTAATTCAATATATTCAACAAATGATAACATATGAGTAGAAAACACTATAGAAGTGTTTCAAAAAGATTTTGATAATGCATGACTGTGTAAACACCTGGCAGATGACATTTAATTTAGAGGTACACAGCATTACATGCAAGTAGGAACAACAAATTACAAATATAAAATGTGAAAGACAATAAGCTCCCAGAAGCTGCTCATAATGAAAAAGACTATGCTTATGTTGATTAATCATTTCCCTCCTCTTGGCAATGACTAGAAGCAAAGAAATAAGCAAACAACTTAAGATATGTAGTTAAGAGTATAACATTAAAAAAAATGAATGTTGTGTTAAAATTGGTTATAAATACAATGTTATGCACCAGTAACACTTCATTTAGAACACAGTATAAGATTTCAGTGATAATGACAAAATAAATCTCTAAAACCTGTCCAAAGAAAAACAAACAGGTATATTCTTATGCTTAACAACATGTTTAACACTGACATGACAAAACTAAGTTGTTTTAGACATGAATAGAGATTCAGATATTCAAAATGTTCAATGGCCTTGATAGATTTAACTGTAAAGAACAAGCCAGAGGACTAGAGTCCAACTAGTAGTCAATAAATTAATTGGATTTTGCCAAAAGAATAGTCTCAGATTTAACCTAAAATAATTTTTACACTTCTTTAGCAGCAGGACTAAACTAAACACTTAGTGGTGCCAAGACTTTAAATTTTAAATTTACAGCCAAATGTATAAGATTATAAACAGTATTATTGCCACTTCAGAGCAATACGACATGATGCTATCGCAACTACAGAAAATAAAAATGATCTGAAATGAATCACAAATACTTGATTTTGTCTAAATATAACCAAAATGTGTAACTTGACTTTCTATGCTCTTATGATTAAAATCTGAAGATGTAATGAAGCTGCAACTGTAGAAATGAAGCTGTTGCCAGTGCTAAATTAATTTGCTATTTTTGTGACATTTCTTAATGTGTCCTGCAGTGTGAGCTAAGAAAAACTTAGAATCCAGCCTCTGCATTCGATTAACCTCACATACACACACATTTACACATGTAACACACTTTTTTGAATAGCTTTAAATTAATAACAAGGAGGACTGAAAGGTTATCCACTTTTTTTCCCCCCAACACAGGTTATCAATAGTGTAGGTTTAAATATTGTGGACATGCTGAACATGAGGCAGTAGTTTCAAACAACTGCATGACCCAAAATCCCAAACTGAAAGTATTTCACATAGGCAAACATTTTTGGAAATACGCCATCTTCATATTAGAAGTACTTTGATTATTGTGAATAAAATGACTCAGATTAATGTCAATAAGATATTTAATTATGCCATTCTTCATTAACAAAAAAAATACAGTAATCGAAAATTGTAATTTGCACTTAATCTCTAAAATAAATGAATTATTCAAAAAAAACTCAGTGACAAATATTCAGTTTAAACCTTTATTAAAACAATAATTATGAAATTAACAATTTAATTTTTCCATCATGAAATTTAATTTGAGGTTCAAAGTATTTGTCATGCATATGTTTTCTTTAAGAAGATTCACATATATATAACTTTTCAGTATAGACCAGTCTACAGTATAAAGTCTGCTCTACACCTTTTCATTTTCTGTTTGTACTAAATGTGACCTCCTTAACAGTCTCAAATTGTGAGGCTTTATGGCTATAATGTTGGACATTACTGCTTTAAAACTGTAATAAAAAAGAAAAACAAAAAAAGAAAACAAAATACAAAACGTGGCTTACTGTCCCTTATACTCAGCAGACTATTTATCTGTTGTTTTTTTTTTACATTTTGAAAGTTAACAAAATATCAAATAGCCATCTGTGGAAGGACAATGTGAAGGGATTTTTTCTGGCATTAACAAAGACTGTAATATTGAAAAATATAGTTTTGGGTATGCTTATAGATGAAAGCATATGGTGTGAAAAGAAACCTGGGCACCCCCTGTCCGAAACAAAAATAGCTGCAGCACAAACTTTTACTTCTAGCTAAGGCGGACAACAATAATTTTGCCAATGCAGAAAAACGTCCAACAGACAAGTTGGAAAGGATGGGGGCTGCTCTGGACTGATGACGCTCTGACAGTTCATGGACACGCTGGTTAAACAGTTCTTTTCCCAAGGCATGGGAGATGCTCATACTTCTTAATTCAGCCTCCAGGAAATGAGTGGCAGTTCCAGCTCAGAATCGCAAGTGGGATTTGTGCTTCACCATGTACCTGTTTGTTTTATAAATAAAAGAAAGTCAGTGTTCCGATGCAAACCAATGCAAAACAATCTCTAAACAATGAAGGTTCCTTGCCGCATAACATCAAAGGTAAGACTTATACTGTAGCTCTATTGTTATTTTTGAGCAGAGAAAACCAAAATACAGTAAAATATCTTTAAATTAAGAACTTACTTAGGCAAAACAGAACTTAATTCAGGATTACAGGAATCAATTATCAGTAAAGGATATTACAATTTACATGCACAACTATACTTGAAATTCAGTGATTTCTATCGTGATCGTTAATCATACAAATACCCAGGTCAAGTAAACAATGTACTACAAGAGGTACTGAGACACAATAGAAAGGTGCCTTATTGCTGTGTGTAATCATAATGCGAGGTGGGGCAATAGCATTCAAACTAAAGCACTATAGAACCAACAGGGGCTACATTTCTGAAAATACCCCAAAATAAAGTCTTGGATATACTTATAGATGAGAGGATATGGAAAATAGTTGAGTAAATAGATTAGATTTCCACAGCCCATGAGTAATCATCAACAGGCAACAGAGCCTTCAGAATTCTCCCTTAAAATTGCAAATGCAATCATGAGAATGATAGTTAAACCACTGGAAGCAATAAAATGGTGTTATGTTACCACACAAAAAAAAAACATACTTGAGAGCACTGAAATCACATGTCAATGTGAATGTGAAAAATAGGCCTTAGAACACCTAGTTGGGTAGAGCGATGTGTGGTATGCGAGCAAAACACTTGAGCTAGGCAAGACAACAAGAGTTGGAGAATATGCATGCTTTTTAAACACTTTCGCAGGTAGAACCGAGTATGACCTAGGTTGGGATAACTGGTACATTACACAGAAACTGTGCGAGAGCAAGTTCCAGGGGTGTGGTTCGCAAGGGAGGCCTGTTCTTATAAATAACAGATTAATACCATACTAAGAAATACTAGGAAATCAATATAAGCAACTTAAACTCCAATAAAATAAGAAATTAGAAAATTACACAAATGATGAATAATTGAATTGAACATTCAGAGATGGACTGTTTAAGTGTCAACATTTTCATTCAAATATATTATTTCTATATTTACTAGCTACTGTTAGATTAAAAGCAGTGCTTTTCTATCCATCATCAGAAAGCTGCTTATCCTGGTAAAGGTTGGACACCTCCTAGACAGGATACCAATTCATTTCAGAGCTACAGAGAAAGGGATTATTTGAAATAATCAACCTAGCCAAGGTGTCTCCGAGAGGTGGGAAGAAACCACAGCACTTGAAGAAAACCTACAAGAACACCTGAAAATAGGAACTTCAAAGCTAGAGATGCTCGAGTTTAGATTAGTTCTAGTGTTAAAGTTAGATATCTGAAATGTTTTCAGAAACCTAACAAATGATTTTAGATTTCAACCCATTTTGTCATACCAGATTTCACAATATCTTAAAATGCAATAACTTTGCATCAAATTAATTTACAGATTTCTGAAAGAAATTACAAGAAATCCAATGTTTCCAGGTATCTATAATGGAGATGGAGATATCTAACTAATCCGGAAATGACTGATATCTCTAAGTAATTTGGCTTGCCATAGTTCCTGGCTGTTTAGCTGAGAGGTATTTAGATCAGTTTCAGACAGCATCATTTTAATATCTATAAAGAGTACAGACTTAAATGTATATACTGCTTAAGTAAATTATTTTCCATTAAATTTCACTCCCAATATATTCCATACACTTGAGACAAACAGCCAATGAGCAAATCATCAAAGGTTGTGAATATCTGCTATAGCTTCCATCATTCAAGTTTGTATTAACATTCAAATTTGATAGACAAAGATTAAGGCTTCGAGTTATCCAGATAAGTTTGTAAAATGAAACTAATTACAGTATTGCAGTAAGGAAAGCCAATTTTGTTAGCAAACACTTCTGAAAAGCAGTGATAATTACAAATAAATCTAATTAAGAAAAAAATAATTTGCTTTTAGATCAATTTGGCATTTGCTGTTGTCGAAAAGTCCTTTCACAATCATAACTTTCACTGGAGTTTTTAAGGTACGGAGAATGTTCACTACGAAATGTGTTGTTTACAATATTCTCCGCATTCCAGTAAAATGTTATAACGTGATGTTTTGTTTTTTTAGTTTTTCTGAATTAATATAGGAAGGGAAACCCCTCTCATTGCAATCAAAAACTGTACATTTTTTACAGTAAGGCCCACAGGATTAGTTTATCTTAAGAAGATGGGGTAAATAAATAAACCCCCAATTAGATGCAGAAGTTTACAAGAATATATGTTTTTTAGATTTTATTCCTCTAAAATAACAAATGCTTATATACAAACTGTATATGTAATAAAATTTATTTCACAACAAAAAGGCATCTACCTTTAACAAATTAAAACTTTGCTCACCTGTCCAGAGTTTCCCAGAAGCGCAAAAACACTGGTCTGTCCAAATGCCTTTTGTGATGACTCAGCTCCAGTACTGTCACATCCCATTTCTGCACGTTGGGATCAGTCTTTGCTTCGTCATATTTAAGATGAAAGGCTCTGACTGTAAAACAACAAAAAAGGTTTTATTTTTGGAGAAAGACAAAAAATACTTTTTTAAATAGATTGCATTCAAAGATTTCAGAAGCAACTTAAAACAAGCCCCCCCCCCAAAAGCTTGTTCTATTGTTTACAGAAGAATAAAACAACAAGCAGGATTCTATTTTGGAATTACATAAATAAGGAGTAACTTGAGTTCCAATATTTAAAAAAAAATTCTGTAGACATAATAAGGGCAATTATCAATGTGATTCCATAAATAGAAAAAATGAAATTTTACGAGTATTTTACTTGCATTTTATTTTTGAAAGTGACTTGGGTTACCAAAAAACATGTATACACATAGAGGTTTAATATAGGGGTGTGTACAATATTTCAAGAGCACTACGACTCTGTAGTATCTCTTAAGATTTGTTCTTATTGGTAGTTCATTTAACATATTGTGGATTAAATATCCCCCTAGGACTTTTTTTTTACATTTTATTGTGTTATAAAATGGAACCACACATTTAATTGGAATTTTATGCGACTGATTGACACAAAACAACATGTCAAAGTGAAAACAAAATTGTAAATGTTCTCCCAAATTTACTAATAACACTATAAAATGTGAAAAAGTCCAAGGGGTAAATACTTTTGATACCACTGTATTGCTTTTGATTTCACATTTCGCTCAATGGCAATATAACAGCAGATGCACCTTTTAAATGCAATGAGGATGGACAACTAGAGAAATAACTACTTAAACTGACTTTCAAGTATCATAAATTGTCTAATTAATAATTATATAGAACTATCAATTTGTCTGTTTTTTAAATCAAAAGAAAAAAGGTTGCCTGGTACCAAATCTAAATTTAACTCTGCACTGACAGTTGTAAATAAAAGGTAAAGCAGTTTATCTTCAAAATGATCTCTTTATTTAGATACCCTCATTAAGAATCATAGGAGTAACATTGCTAGTAGAGTACCATAGTGATCTTCATTTGAATCACTGCCTTTTCTGATATCAGTGATCTAGAGTTTAGTATTCAAACTCAGATTATACCAAAATAGGATGAGACGCAAAAACTGTAAAGGAAATTCTTAATGATTTAGGTAGAAAGACTAAGCAAATTTAACAGTTAATTTCAAGTTTAATATACATTTAATGCATGCATGTTTTTAGAAGTCAAGTTTAAGATGAGATTTTATTAAACATTTAATGTAGAGTACAGTGCACTTGCAAGTAGCCAGAACAAACTGCAACTAGAACATGGGAAATCATGACCTTGAAGACTAATGGAAAAACTATGAAAAATATTTGTTATACTATTGTTAACATTTTGTAAACAGGGGGGAATAGTGGGGATGCAATACAAAAAGGAAAACAGAACAACAGAACACATTAAGTGCATACTTTAAATATGTTATTAATTGGGGTGCTAATTTCAGCATTCAAAATGCTCAATGGCATTGACAAAGTAAGCTCTATGAACTTCCTCAGCATTAACAGCGAAATATAAGCTCAAGGGAACTGACAGCAAGACAAAGTTCAAAATAAGCAAATATTTAATTTGAAGAATTTCAAGGAATATGACACTTTCAGCAGTCTCGAAAGGTTTATTATTTTATTTTGACCATATACAAAGTAATCCAGGATTTCAGATTAATTTTGTTCATTTCTGGGATTTATTTTAATCTAACTCCAAACTAAATGGCATTATATAACCCTTTTTTATAAGACCTTCAATGTACACGTGGTTAGGATAACAGTGCTGAACTCAGAGATAATGAAAAGAAAATAGCCTTCAAACAGCCTCCAAAAGGTGTTCTGTAGACATCAATCTGGAGTCTGAACAACCTGTCTGCTAGTCAGGATTTGAATCCTGTATCTTGACATCTCAATTGTGTTGTTAAACTGATGAGGAGAAAAATGGTGTTGCATTTTGTTTCTTGAAATCTAACACATGAAATTCATTTTTCAGCTTTGCATTACCTTAATTTTTTTTTAACTTACTTTTTGCAAAAATATCAACTGGTGAGCCGTCAGGTAACAACCATGGCCAACCTTTAAACTGCCAAGCAGGACCTTGGACAAACACTGCCACAACACGATCCCTTTAGAAAAAGAAAAAAAAAATCTTAGATGATCTGTTGCACAGATTTTTCACATACTTCAATTATTCTCAATCTGTAAACACACTTAAATCCATGCTGTACACTTCAGAGGTAAACTTGTTAAACATACATATGCTGCATAATGTAAAAATAAACAGAGCAAAAATGAAGCTTTAAACACAAATAATAATTCCACAATTAATGCATTAATAAATGCACTCAATTAACAGTAAAACCTTAAAATGCAAAAGGCGCAAAGAAGTTGATATCAAACAAAAGACACTTTGAAGTAATATAAAAGGCATCAGTATAATTGTATATGCCATTTTCTATACGGTGTACTTTTTGAACAATTGTACTTTTTTTTTTATAACAGCTTTATCCAATACAAGGTCAGGCTACAGGGGAATTGCACATTTTGGCAAGAAACAGACACAAGGCAGCCATATACCCAGGATGGGATTTCAGTCCATTGCATGATGAACAACATGCAGCAATTTTCTCAGAAGCCAATTAAACTACCAATATGTCTTTAGACTGATGAAGGAAAATGAAGCACCTGGAGGAAACCCAGCAAACACAGGGAGAACATACAAACTCATTGATACTACCCCAGGAATGAAGCCAGGGCACTAGTGTGGCAAGGCAGCAATGCTAACCAATGTGCTGTAAAGGACACTGAATTTGATAATACAATAACACAGCACATTATAAAAAGTATTCATAAAGCTTATGTTTTTAATAATTTTTAATTTTCAAATAAGACACAAATGGTATAACTGCCTCCATTTTGCCTCAAACTCAGTGACACATCCCTCTAAGCCTCCCCTTATAAATAAAATCACCTAGGTCAGAATCATCATCTAGCACCATGTGATAACACAAAATATTTTGAATATGGATAAAGAAGACACCCGTTTACAGAATTTAACCACCTTTGGACACTCCCTAGGGACTATGAACTAACTTCAGAAAGATACTGTTTAAGGGGTCAAACGCACTGTGCTGAATATTTAAATGGATGATTGGGATTTTTGGAAGCAGGTTTTATATCAAATATTGTTTCAGGAAATCATGTTCCATTTAATTCACTATGTCAAATAATATAGGGGTTTAAATGTAGCACACAAAAAAAAAAATCGAGTCTTACTAAGGTGCAACTGATTTTGCATGGGGTGGTTTTAGACATCTTTACCGACTGGCACACTAAAGAAAGGAGATGCCAGTATAGAAGAACAAAGAGGCTGGAAGCCTGTATTTCAATTGAAAGTACTGGAATTCATGAAAACCAATTTTATTTAACATATTGTATTAGCAAATATTGGCTACAATACGAATTTGTCACACCAATGAAAAGAGAAAGAGAACAGGGAAAGTTGAATTGCCTAGAAGGGATTTTTTAATTACAAAAACTGGAAAACGGACATGCCCCCTAATTAGTTACTAGTTACTTTTTCTACTAAAAGATAAGTCATGTATAATTATGGGACCAAATGCAATCTCTCATGTTTTAGAGGTAAACTTATGAATCAGATTTCAAAACCTATATTGCATGAGCCGCCATTCTTAAAACCTTTCAGTCTATAGAATGGAAAACTTAAAACATGGTTGCTTCCCTTTATATATGAATTTAAAAAAATAGAATGTGAATCCAACCCAATAACCTATGGGAATGAGAAACCAGAATCATACAGCTAAACAAATTAAGCAAGAATGTAAGAAAGGATAGCACACCAAAATGTTAGGTTTGTATTTCCTCTGTATGAAGGTAGTCCTAAAACTTCATGTGGATTTTACTTCTTCTGGAATTAGTAAAGACTACTTTGTCCTGCATGATATTTTCAAAATAACATTACAGATGTAAGAAAACAATGTAATTTTAACATTCCTAGCATCTAACAAATCTGAAATAAAAATCTACGCTTTTCCAATTTGTGATTGTGAAGGACTATGTTTTGTAGCTGTGCTATTTATATGGATAAGTGTTAGATCACTGTCCAACAGACCCAAAGACAAGGACTGCAATGCTTCTGCAGTCCAAAAAACAAAATCTTTTCAAACAGGGAAATGGAGACTAAATAGCAAAAATGTCTAAGGCAGCCATCAACTTCACTGTAGATGCTCTTTATAAAAAAAACTCCCAACAGCTCATTTGAATCTTTACCATTGATACATACCAGTCCTGGGGAGCCAGTTTGAGGGGCTGGTCTATCACCCTGTACGGCACAGTGACACTCAGTGTTGTTCCACCTGGTTGAATCTGATCCTTTCGCCTCTGAAGTAAGACTTCATTTTCTCGTTGAAATCCTTGTTTTTTCTTTTCCTCAGACGTCACAAACCTTTGAAATTTTGTACATTTTAGTACTACCAAAAACTATGTTTCAAGAGACAGGGCAGAGAAAATTGATAACTGCAACTTCACAGTACATAAAATGATAAAACTAAAGAAAATATAAACTTCAATCTTTTCCTGGGACTGACTTAGACTTCTTTGAAAAAATTATAATGAACAATTTATACATTTAAGGGATTCAGCTTGTACTTCAGGTAATAAACAAATAATAAAATTGTGCTTTGAATAAACCATTTTCCTTTGAGTTGTATCCTTAATCATTAACGACTGCAAGTGGTAATCATGGTAAGGAATGTACTATGAAGAATGTAACCAATCTCTAGGCTCATGTTTAACTTGTAGCTGATTTAACATCTGGAGGTAATGGTATACAATGTCCTACAATCCCAGATTGACAGTGAATTTGCAGTCCTGGTACTAGGGGGAGAGTTCTACAAACTGGGATTCTATCGACCAGAATAAGCTCATTATTGGCTTAACTGGAGCAGTTTGACAGGTTCTTGTAGCTTTTCTGGTTCCGATGTTTTAAATAGACCTAGAAAACATACATTCTGGCACTTTGGTACAAGGATTGGGGACCCTTCTCCAAGGGCTTGTTCCCCCTTCTGTTAAATTTGTGAGCTGGTTGACAATGTTTATTAAAAAAAACAATTCATTGTTGTATAATGTAGAGAGACTTTTTGCGCTAAAGGGATTTTCTTCTTTCCAACATAACAGGGTGAACAAAAACTATTATTCCTCAGTCCCTATAATGCCTGTACACCAACTTCTGAAAACAATTTTTTCTTTGGCAAATGTTTGTGCCACACCACAGTATGGCATATCACTTAACATTAGTTTTTAATTACTCAGAAGCACAATAATTGTTGAAATGCTTATCGCCCCGTCAGCATTTCGTTTTCAAAAGCCACTTCACACCCACATTTAGTAACTGACAAAGGGATTTAATTGTGACGAACTGGTCTGGTAGGATAATTAAGAAGTACTGGATAGAAGCAGACATACAACGTGTGACATCTTGCTCATTTCCACAAACTTTTAAATCGGATGACAAACATCATCAGAAGGAGCTGGTTAACAAGTACATTGATGTGAATCAAGGATTTAAACTGGAGAATCAGTGATTCTATACCTGACAAATGTAATCCATCAGACGCAATTTAACAGGTATAAAAAAAATCACAGGATTCAATTAAGGAAAAAAAATACTTTCTACTAATGAGCTCAACATGCAGGAATATAGTGTTCCAATGATGTTATTGTCTAAAGGTTTCTTGAAATTGGGATTACTGTTTTGGGCTTAGCAAACTTAAAAAAAAACACATATCTTAGAAAAAATCAAACATATCTTTAAGAAGACTATGAATAATGCAAATGGTTTAATAAAATACTGATCTAGGTCAACCTTACAGAAGCTCTTATTTATAAATGTAACAAAAACTTTACTATGCATATCACTGCTTAATACAGTTTTAAATTAAGTTGGTATACAAAACCCTTAAGTGATGCCGACTACGCTACAAACAAAAGCTCCAAGTCATCAGTGGGAACATATTCTCAAAGTTTTTGCCCTAGTCGCATCGGAAAGATGTGAAGCTTCAATATCGTTTCAGAAAAGCTGCCAGGCTTCATTAGCTACTTTTCATCAGCTTAACAATGTTCTCAAGCTTATGACTGAAAGCTGAAGTAAGGATCTATACAGTCGAATGTTCAAACTTAAGATGAAGGGCGTTTCATTCATTTTTGTCACTTTTAATATTCCCATCTTCCCTCTCTTAAATTAGAATTCATTTTTCTAAAATGTATCTGAACATGTATGGAAGATAAGAATGATGACCACTTTTTTGTAACAGTAGTTACCCCAAGTAGCAATTAATACTAATCCTTCCATCGGTGACAGTAATGGTCTTGCAACAAAGAAATGTAAGACAAATCACTTTAATTCTACCAGAATGTGTTGATTAATTATATGGCAGTTTACATTAATATGAAGTACTGAGAGGTTTGCAGTTCCAACAGTTCATCAGCATCACACACACATGATACGTCTTTACTATACTTATTTCAGACTTAAATCAATTTTGATTGAGAATTTCTAATTGAAAGTATTTAAAATAAACAGCACAAATCTGTCGGTAATGTTTTTATATGTAAAGTGTGCACATATGAAAATACGGGTCAACACTCCAGCACCTATATAAAATATGAAGAAAAACAGAAACAAATTGCTGCTTAAATACAAATCATTGATTCAGTTGAGATTACCATAACTGCATCAGTTAAAGGTAAAACTTACCACTATTTTAACTGAAACATGCTGTGTACCACTTTCACATCTCCAAATTATACTAACCTTGACTTCTTAATACAGCACTGAAAAAAAATCTGAATAAGTCTTACGGCAATAAAACAGGTAATTTGTTGAATGTGATTCTCTAAACAATGTGCTTGTAAGTGTCTAGTATACTGTAGTGTCTGAAACACTCCGTAAAACAATTATGGCCCTGCCCAGAAGACCATTTAAAATCAGGGACAAATATATAAATACTGAAAATGTTAAAAAAAAGTCAATTATCTTGTTTGAGGACAAGAACTGAAACACAGGGAGAAAAAGAAAAATCTCAAACCTGTCACTGCAAGACAAGTCAGATTCAAAGGACTATATCGCCTTTCAGGTTTTCTAGCCTTGTGTACCTCAGGCAGCAACATCAAGCAGGGCTTCTGAATACAATCAAAGCACAGTGAGGGGTATTTCTGTTCTAAGTGACATTCGCAAAAACAATACTGCACCCGAGACATTAAGTGACAGGATTTATTAGTTTTGACATTTGTTAGTGATATAAAATTAAATCTGCTTAAAAGGAAAGCCACAGTATTATACAAATCTGTGTGCACCAAATGCATGGCTGTTAGTTATCATTAATGTTATGAATGAAGGAATTTTAGCTTTTTGAAAAGGTAAAGTTCTTAGATTTCTTACAGGTATTTTTTGTGGTGAACCTGGCATATTCAAGGCAAAAAAAATGAAAAATGAGGAATTACCAAATACAAATGAATTTGATTTTCAAGGGCTCATCACACTGAATATCACAAAAAGGTAATTGCAGGTTAACCTTGATTTATTAATATAATGACTATCTCAATTTATTTCTGACTTCAGTTTAATAGAGAAGAGATGGCTATTTGAAAACCTTACTGCAATCAAGGATTCAGACAGTGCTTTTAAGTGCTGAAAAAAGGATACCTGAAACACCGATGGGTAGCTTATAAATACTGTTTCATGCGACGGGGGTGGGGGGAATTCTTTAAAATGCCTGGAATGATTAGGGCGCTGTATTTGAGAAAGGGGCCCCACCACCCCACTCAAGGGTCTTATGTATATGGTGTCATTAAAGTTGGTATTAAGGCGTTTCATTGGCAGTGATTCCTAGCTACGTTTTCAGCCAGATCTGAGTGAAGAAATGGGACACTACCATGTTCCGGAAAATGGTCAAAGACTTATGTTACCATGCGACATACTTACAAAAAACAGATGAGGAACAGAATAATAGTATATAGAGAAAATTTGATCTTATCATGAGATTCCTGCTCCTTATCAGGTATTAAACACTAAAGTTAAAACACTACTTATAGAGAATGGAGTATTTTCATATTGGTGGAATTCTTCTTAAATCTCCCAAGTGGAAGATAAAGCATGCGGGAAACTCTATCAATCTTGGTAAACGTGTTACGATAGCAGGTGTTTGGTTCTATAACACAGCTCTGAGAAATCTTCAATCATTTTCATACTATCACAGAACATCAAAGAAATCCTTTTTTGTTTAGTTTTCACAAGCAAAAAAATGCAACTAACATTCTTCATAGTATTAAACGTAATACGTTGAAAGCATTATAACAAAAAAGAGGAATAATCCATATACAGAGAATAAATGGTCCTCATCACACATTAATCACAGGTGCTACAATTTTCCAAGGCTAAAACAGACCATGAATATATTAAGAATCAATTACAATGATCACGTGAGCAATCTGAGAACAACAAATAATAAAAGGAAAAGGAAAGGAACACTAATTACAAATGTAGCTTTAGGAATGTTTCCCCTCATTTTTAATGCACCCTATGTGCCAACTTCAGAACATACTTGCTTGAAACCCTCACCAATTATAAATTACACTGAAGACCGAGAAAAGGCTGAGGCTGCTCATCCAAGGAAGCTTCTGAAGGGAAATGCAGCTTTTCTGCATGTCAATTAGGTATGAGTCAGGGCTCTGACTGTCACAAACACACACAAAGCTTTTCAAGCATTCAACAGCCCCAAAAATATGTTCAAAAAGTCTTCATTATTTGGCATAAAAAACTGAAGAGTACCACACAAAACCTTTGACCAGCATGAAGCACTGGGTTTACAATGTTAAGTATAATTGATGGGCCTTAATATATTTGAACCTAGGATGAGATGCTCTATGCCTTTCATGCAGACAGCCTATCATCCTTGAAAACATGGCAGGGCCACGTCCTTCTATTAACTCCACACTTTTAAAGTTAAAAGGCTGATTTAAAAATAACCTTTCCAGTGTTCATAAATGTTTTCAGAAATAAATGCCTGTTCCACAAAAAAAAATCCAATTTTAAGCAAGATTCCATTTAAAAGGCTTCAATGGCAAGAAATTAAATAGTTTTCATGACTTGTGAACATCCTACTCATTATGCTTTTCAATTTAAATATGTATATATATTTTAAATACTACGTTTGTGTCAATCAGTTTTACATTTAGCATTCAAATGTTAAGTCCTCCTGGTTCGCTTCAATCACAATTACTTTCCTTTTCCATACCCATTCACTCGTTTTGATTTTGAACAGATGAATGACAACAATATGCCATAAAAGTCAGCTGTTAAGTTAACAGTGAATCCTTAAATGTTTGAAATAAACACCTTTTAAAACACACCTAGTACCTATGTACACCTAAAGATTCAGATAAGAAATGTATAAAGGATCATGAAGTCAGATTTTCTCCACCATGTACACTATTAAACCATAAGTGGGGACTATATTAACGAGATGGGTAATGGGCAAGATACAGCAACTACTCCATGAAGTTTTAATAAGAAACAACTCTCAAAATTAAAGAAAAATGTTTTCCAAGAGGCATGGTAAAAAATTCTCAAGTTAAAGGCAAAAATATATTTTCCAGAAATCCCATTCAACCAGTAAGTATATTTATGAAGAATAACTACCTGAAGTGTTTTAGTGCTTTATGTTTAAAAGCCCATCCTCTGCATACACAAACTAAGATAAAGCATGGCTAGCCAAAAGCATGATTCTGCACTGGATAACCAAGTGGTTGCCAAATGGCTACCTACTGAGAGAAATGAAACTGTGAACCAGATGCAAACAACCTGAAGCAATGCTGTGAGCAATAGTTTACAATGGAAACAGGTTTACAGTCCCACCATTTAAAATCAGATCTAAACTACAACACGGCGGGATAATTATCAGACAAAGCTTAGCTCAAACACAGCAATTATAATTAGCAAACATAACCAGTGAAGAAAATACACATCTTGAATATAACAAAAATAACCCCCAAACAATTCTTCAGTTTCAATTTTCAATCAGCATTTTCACACTGAACAGTGGTGTGGGATTAAGCATAAAGACGTGGCTTGCTCTGTGCTTTACAACGTAGACTTTCTAATTTTCTAAAACTAATCTTAAGGGCATTTTAAATATCTCCAGCTCCATTTATGTGTCAACTGAGAACAATTGAGTTTGTACTTCAAGACTATTTCATAGTGTTATGGACTTATAAAACACTTGCAATGGCAATTACTCTTTTGACATACATACTACGATGTATTTGTATTATCTATACATATGAACATGCACATGTGCAGGCAATTTAATCAAATTAAAAGCCCTTAGCTTACATTTTCAAACGTAATTTAGCTTTTAAAATCAATCTCATGATGCTGGGTCTTTATGGGTCTTTATTTCCAAACACTGGTAGACCTACTTATTTGCTCTTTAAGAGCATTATTAAAAATCTTGTTTTAATTTAATTATAACATTTGAAGGAACATTTAGGTTCTGACAGCTCATAGTGTATATATATATAAAGGCAGAGGTGCTGCTTAAAACAAAAATCTAAGAAGAAACTTTATTAGAAAATACTGAATTACTTCAGTTAGGTCTTTAGGAATTTCAGGTAGTATACCTATAGTAAAATAATTAATATTTAAACCATTCATAACTTAATACATACATATAAAATGGATGACAGTAAAAGTATTAGCATTTTGGTATTTCTGACAGGAACTGAAAGTGTGGCTTCCAGGCAAATCCCTGCACAACAAAACATGAAAGAAAACCAAATCAAACCCACAACCTGTTGTCTTGACAAAGGAAATCAGTTTGAGAGATGCACCGATTTCTGCAACCAGAGTTACCTAGATCAATGTTCCCTCATCACACATAATTATGAGACGGATCCAAAAGCTTTAGCATTAAAAAGAGCAGTGAGAAAATAAACATGACCAATTGATCAGTTGTATTTTATAATCTTTGATATTATTTTTTAATCTCAGGGCAAGCCTGCTGACAAATCTGCAGATTTTTAATTGCAATGCATAACTCTGAATGCATTTAAAAAAAAAAAAACTTTATCCAAGTGAACATCATTAATTACATCCTTATAAATGGCAGAAAAATAATTGATCAGCATTAATAGTGGCTGGTGTGGTTTTTAGATCTTTATTTTAAACAATATTCAAAATGTCATTTTAATTGAACTTCAACTTTTTAATGCATGTCAAGTCTCACATTCTGTTCTTAACTGTGCTTGCCTAAAATGCAACATTTAACTTGCAGGGCAGTATCTAGTTGTGGGGCTGTGTAGACAACATAAAATAAAATGGTATTTTAAGGAAACACAAATCAGTATACCATACTCCTGAAAGATGCTCATTCAATGTCCATTCTCAAGCAGCTCTTGTAAAACACTTACATCTGTGTTTAGGCCAGTGACTAAGACAAAATAAGGAAATGTATTTCATATCTAGAAAAACATTCAATTTCTTCAGTAACAATGTTCTCCTGTACTGTACTTTAATACTGTAAAATATATTTTGTTATTTTAAACAGATTAGTGTTTTAAAAAAAGGCCACAGTCTAGTCATTCATAAAGGTCTAGTCATTCATGGGCTCAGTAGTCTGATACTTTGACAGAATCTTTGACTGACGAAGCAGATGATGTAGGGATGAAGACTGTCTGAAGGTTTGTTGGTATAAATTTTTCTGCTTCCAGACTCATAATTTTCTTCTGAATGAACAGCAATTTGAGAAGTAATACGGTGACAAAGAAATGTGTTTGCCTGCTCCTACCAGTTCTGAATTGTGGCTATCTTGATATTCTTCTTAAATATCCTTTCCTTACTGGTCACTTTTAGTTCACTGAAATTGGCTAAATTGGGAAAAGATGACTTGTTTAGAGAGCTGACTGTCTGGTATGCAGACACTGCACATTTAGCTCACTGAAGCACCAGTGCTGCCTTGCAAGTTTTGGCTTTGGTGAAGATGGAGGAGTTTCTTCTATACTTTTGCCATTGCTGTGAAGATTCATCTTGAGATTTTGGTGGTAGTTCTCCAGGGTTTTCAGTGACAGCTGTATGTGCCCCCCATTCCCTTTTCATAGAATAAAGAAGGGGTGCAGATATCATTGTAGACTACGTTTCTTTTCAGAAATCATGGTTTTTAAAGATATGCAAAAGGAATTTCTCCAAAATAGGCATTAGCACAATTGATTCCATACTGAATTATGATGTTTGATTTCTGGGAGAGAGGGTTTATCATATAAGAGAAAGGCTTGATTACTTTGAGGGTTTTATCTCACTCTCTGAACATTATGACATCTCAAACACAGTACATGCAAAAGCATTTCTTTTTCATGTGGCTGGTGTTGAACCATCATGGGTGTTAACGTTCATAATGAGTAATAAAGGGAGTGAACGAGTATGAGAAATAATCATAATCAAATAATCAAGTAGGTCAAAATGACTTGATACCAAAACAAAATTCTAGCTAAACCACTAGTGCTCTTTTTCAAAGAAAGAAGTCATAGGAAACCTGGTAAAAATTAGAAGAAATTTCTCAAGAAGTGTGAAAATGGCTAAGATCAGGGATAGTAGCAGAGTAACCCTCCCCTGAAAAATCTTAACAATTACCAGTAGAATACTTAGCAAAATGAGAAATCTTTTCAAATAACATCATTCCTGAACAGCGCTGCCTTCATTAATGTCTGTGTAGATCACATACTGCAGTGGAAGCTGAGGGTCGATAGCAGTGGTAGATCACAGAATGAATTTTAGCCTGGTTTTATGATCTTTATGAACAGCTGACTAGACTGACTTAATAAACAACTACTAATATTGATTCACTGACTTTTTGAACTCGGACTGAAGTTAGAAAAAAAGCAGAATATTATCCAATAAAATTCAAACAACAAGCTTTCTAAAGCATTTCAAAAACAATTAAGACATTTTAATGATTTCTGTTGCACTAAATATAATTAAGAAATATCCTTCATTATTTTGCAAGTAGTTTTCATATAATTAAGCCCCAAAGGTTATGGTTTACTTATTCCACAAGAGATCTGTTCTGTGAACACCAGAAAAGGATAACTAATTGGACATTTTAAATGCAAACCATTTCCACAAGGGATTTCATAGGATTGCATGTCACAGGATTTATGTCTGATCCTAAAGGCATCCAATACATCAACGTGCCATTCAGTACAAGGCAGTAACGTTTTTCCCCTTAAAAATCAAAGTCAAATGTTCCATCACAATTGTAAAAAGACAACATTCAAAATCCTGGCCGTCTAAAAATTTGAAAAAAGAATTGTTTTCTAAAGGCAACATTGTATAATACATTGTCTTCAGTGGGGAAATTCTAACAATTTAATAAGTCATATGAAATTATAGCATTATAGTGATTTCAACAAGGATTCGTTTTTTTTCTTACTTATACTAAGAATATGTAAGATACTGGTTTAATCCTACTTTGTCTACTAATGGCAGACAAAAGGCTGAAAGTAATTTAAACAATCAGACATATTCAGTAGCCATATAGATCATATACTCACCTTTTTAAAGAAATGTATAATTTCTTTAAATTATAAATTTAATATAGACATTTTGGACACTGTTTTATGATTTACTTACTTTAAGTCCTGCAGAAGATCTTTTGCATTTAGCATGGTGACTAATGAAGTAGTTGCTGCAGGTATGATGATAATAGGGGTTCGAGATCCTAGAAAATAAAATTTAAGTTGTAGCATCTGGAGGAACTGTTTCACTTCTGCAGTTTTACAGTCAGAAATACAGAAAACAATGCATGTTTATATATTGTGGAAATAGGGTAGATAACCTGACTGTTTTTGTTGTGATTTCAACACTTAGGTATCATAAATTTGTACTTAACAGCCTGCAAATGAGAATTGTACTACAAGGGTAGATAAAACGTTTTGGTTGTTCTGCCAGTCAAGAGTGGGATGCGGCCTCTTTCAGTGCACTGATATCCAGATTTTTCCTTATTTTTCCTTTTAATTAATCTCTTTTAAAGCTCACATAAAGCAGGAATATATCGGACATTTGTAAATTTTATATACTTATCAGTAAAGATCAGTAAAGCAAAGTTAGACTGATTTCCTTATCTGTTGCCATAATTTTATTCAGTATCAAATTTACTGACAATATACTGGTGATGTTTATGAACTTTTGTTAGATTTTTAAATATATAACACATTTAATAATGTTCCTCAAGATTCATTTAAATATAACAGCTTTCACATTGGTTCTGAAGCAATTATGAGGTTTCCAATGAAGAATGGAGCAGAAATATTTGGGCAAATAAATGCTAAACACTAACTAATTAAACTATGTCACTACTTTTGAATGTATGACCATGTAGTGAAATGAAATTAGCTGAGAGATAGGTTATCCTGAAAAAAGGACAGTCTGGGACTATTTCTTAGTAGACAATCTGAGAATTGTTTATAAAGGAACAATGAAAACCTTAGATCACCAAAGTGTTGACAATACAGATCATTAACAATATGGATCATTAACTGTAAGCAACAACTCTATTTTATCAGTCTTTTAACAAAATAAAATGGATTGTTCGAATAGGTTAGGTAGAAGTTTAAAGGTTTGCATCTTTCTTTCTACATTAGTTAATTTGATGTTTAGAAAATGGACACATCAAATCTCACAACACCTTACCTTTCTTTTGGTTTGGAGGAGGTCTGGCTTGAGAAACTAACAAGAATAAAAAAACTGTTAGCATATGAAAGTTTTCACTTTATATATACTAAAGTACTAAAAGACATCAACATACGTAACTTTTTTGTGGTTGCAGTTTTTGAACTTTTGCAACAAAGGTTTGACATCTTTTGAATAAAAAGCAGCTGGGCAAATGTCAGTGAGAAAAGAAAAACGTTCATCTAGTAGGTTTATTAGGCACTGCTATATATCCTATATATTCCTGAGGAGGAAAAAAGAAAATGGCAAAAGAATTCTAACAATTCCAGGTTTAGATTTCTAAACTGAAAAAGAAAACATTTCTATTATGTAGTGCATAATGAGCCCCCCACCCCTAAAACCACCCTACTGAAACCTAAGAACATTTGATCTTATTTGATTTATTCTGGCTTAAATGTTTTGCACATTTTTTGAGCTTTAGAAGCTTTGACAAGCTTTCAAAGAACCAAAATTGTGTTTAGTTCAAGTAGGTCCTTTATGCAGGTGAATATCAATCTATAAAAAAACATTAACAGACTAAAAGCTGCAGATGTCTGAACTTGCTTCTTATTTTCTGAAGTATATTGGTATACAGTATATAGGAAGTATGTACTAATGTTAGTATATTAGTAAAGGTGTCCACAAAGTAAAATTATAAAAGTACAGATTGTACTCTGGTTATGCAATGCGGTAAAAACAGACATTTGTTGAAAATCTGAAAAAAAAAGTATTTTCAACAGAGAAGCAATGAGAACAAGTATAAAAATCATAGTGAGCTCTAATGCTTCCATTAATCTAGATACACTGTTAAAGGACCCCAACAAAGCTGTGTTTCTGTTTCCAACCAAAGATGCTATTCCATATATAGAAACAAAATTTCCACATTGTAAAATCTTGTTGATGACATATAAGGTTTGTGCTTCAGATATTGCAAAAGCTTTAACTAAGACCCCATAAAACTAGAAAATATCAACAGAAATATATATGCATAATTAAACTTGCTGACAAGAAAAAGAATATTAGTAGTCACACATAAGAAAATTGAGCATTTTAAGGTGATAGGAATATACTCCCACTGCTTTTCCAAACTAACAGGAAAACAAACATGTCATGCACATTCTCAACAGTCAAAGACTGCTAAACAACAACATGAAATATGGAATGTTGACATATGAAACAGTCATTAAACTACTTCTCCCTCCCTGTTGTGCAAAAAAAACATGCATAAAATGATTTCAGATAAAGTCCTATTACCATGTTCAATTCTAGAAAGAAAAATAGCCATTTAAATTTGTAAATAATCCATACAAATGCATATGCACACAAACATTCTGACACACTCTAAATACTTATCACACAACAAAACTGTTATTAATTAAAGCTAACAACATTAGATTAATACCTGGTCTTGGTACAGGCTGTACTGTTGGTGTCTGCGCTTTTCTGGCTGAAGCCCCTTCCTGAAAAAAGTAACAAAACATTACAATATTTTTCACAAACTACAAAAAGTATTTTACTAGTAATTAATATATAAAACAACAATGTGATTCTCCCCTCTAGATGTTTACAATATCCTTAGTAATAACATGTATTCACCCAGCTGAAGGGATATTTGTCTGTGTATACACAACCATACTACTAATCTTTTTTAAATATTCTTTTTCCACTTATCAGCCTCCTATTTTTATTACTTAAACCAAAAGAAATCATAAATTAATTAAATGGTAGATAAAATTAAATACATTCAAAATAGCTTAATTTAAAAAAAAACAAAACTTGCCTGTGCATTTTTCCCATTTCAATAATATTAAGTAATACTAGGATATATATTTAGGCTCATGCCTACTCTGGAAATTCCCATAAAGAAAGGTTCATTGTTCAAATCTGTAAATCAGGACATTCTGTAGGGTTCAAATTAAATTCATTCCTGCAGGGAAGAGGCTCCTCAAATTAGAGGACAAAAAGTACACACAAAAGGAAGGCTTAAACTCTTAGGAGGTTTATGTACATAGAGAAGAGCTACAGTGCTATTTTGTGCAACTTTAACATTGACAGATATAGCTAAAATTAGATAAAATAGTAATACAAGCTTACTCTGGCATATTCCTATGAAAATACTTATGAATTTTATCAAGTACAACAGAAGTGATTGTACAGTTGATTTACAATCAATTTCAGAACTTCAAAATCAAACTTTGCTCTATTTAACATGTCCTTAAATGGGTGTCATTCAAGTAAACCTGATATCAACCCAGGTGGCTAGTGTCCCCATCCTTTAGCCCCCCTGCATCCCTGGGGATACCAAGTCATTTTCCCATGGCACATATAAATGCCCACAAAATGAACTTTAAGAGTAGAGGGGGGCATGCCTTTTTCCAAAGAGTTCCTGTAAAAATTTTAGAATTACTGAAACAGGACAAGACTGCATTGTAACCAAGTACACCAATCCGGGAATATTTTCTACTTAATCCAATATTAGGAATGGGTGGAAGACGCCTGGTATTGATCAGAACCTTGAAGGTCAACAACCTTGTCATAGTCCTAGCTACTCTAATTGCAGAGTCCACAACCACAGCAGGCTTGCTAGATCCTGATGCTACACTATGAATTGTGCCTGGATGAGCAGAATGAAGTAACGCACCATCACAACAACCCAAACAATGCACCACAAGCATACGCAGGAACAGAAATGCATAAAGGAATGCATAAAGACTCAATGTAGTTATTGTCTCAAAGGGAAAGACAGCCAAATAATGACTTTTACCCTCTGACATTTACTTAAAGTGAATGTGTCCCAGTACTTATGGCGACATAAAATCACTGGGTTTAGCACAAAGTATGTTTTAATACCCAAAAACAAAATGTATATGACACTTATTCATATTAATCTTAATCATACACACATTACATAAGACAAAAACAAAAAACAGCTTTGAGTTTCCGGTCCCAATACATTTGAAGGGCACGGTAACTCAACAGAATCTGTATTGATAAACCAAAAACTCTTAGATGGGAAGTGCACGCACACAGTGAATCTTTAATAGCTATGAATATGAAGAAATTAGGACATTGATGCACTGCAGCTCCAACTGGCTCTGAATTCCAATGATTCCTTTTGAAGGTCTGGGTCTCTAACTGCTTTCCTTAAAAAAATCAATACATGTCAGCAAATTTAATCTGGGCACATAGAAAAGCCTAAACATACTACTATCCTGGCAGACTCTTGAAGACAAGGTTATGAATGGAATAATTAATATGCAAAATAACCCGTTCTTTTCCACTGAGAGGCATTGTTTTTTTTTTAATGCAGCAATTTTTAAGTTTCAAGTTTATGCAGTTTCAACCAACCTGTTTAACTGGAATCGCTACCTTTAACCTTGAACTGAAGACATCCATTATTCAATATTGCTAGCTTTTGACAAGTGAGCTTTTCGTGGCCCTTGCAGTCTTTTAGGAAAGGTACATTAATGTGTTCATAAACCAATATACAGTATGTCACAGGGAGGGCAGGAGGGGTGCCAAATACCAACCCTGAAAACATTTTACTCATTTTTAACCATCTGTAAAAATGGTACTTCCTTTACCAGAAGATGTGCGCATGCACCACTCAGCGTTGACACTACAAAGCCAAGCTGAAAACTGGTATTGGGTTTGGACCAATGAGGCCACCATACCTAGAAGTCTGACTGCAACATGGAAAAAGACCACAGAAAGAGTGCTCTCTCACATAGCCAAGTACTAAGAAACAGAAACATAAAAATAGACCTTCAGAGTTTGTGTTTGTGTCTCAACAGATAACAGGAACGGATTTTGAAATAAAATGTGGTAATGATTTGCATGTATGGAGTAAGCAAATGCTAGCCAAGCCCCGAGTGTGCACCCTCATGAGCTAGCTAGCTGACAGGAAAGTATGCATGAACGTGTGTTACTTAAGGTGAATATTACGTGTCGTGTACTGTACCGCCTGTGGACAGCGACAGAGATCCCTCTGTCACACAGTAAATGCATGATGTGAGAAAGCACAAAACTTCTAATGCCTATCAACGCAACCTTAAGGTACACTGTGCAAGGATGAATTAAAATACTTTGGGGAAACATCGTAATAATCTGGCAAATCAGAAAGAAAACCAAAAAACTACTGCAAGGGCAACTCATATTCAGACCTAGTGATTTGCTAAAGTATGTTTAAAAAGATGGACAACATATACAGTGCTCTTCATAAGTATTGGAAGAGTGAAGTCAAAGTTACTATTTTTGCTGTACACTCAAGCAAGCAACTCAGATTTTAGATGAAAAGATGTATATGAAGTAAAAGTATAGGAGGTCCCCTCTTATTTCTAGACGTGTAACAATGAGAGAGCGGGCGGAGCCATGGGGAGCACCGGTAAAAAGTCAACATCCCTAACTGGAAGCACCGGTGTGAGGTTAGCAGGAACCGGAAATAACACAAAAAAAGTGAAGTGAAAGTGAAAAAAGAAACAAAAAGCAAAAAGGAAGATGTTCTGCTGTGCATCGCGACATCCAGGCTGGGCTTGCCCTATACACTGGGGTCCAGCCCGGAAAAAAGAAGAACCACTAGCACAGCGGTGACCAGACTGGACTTAAACAGGGTTCAGTCTGGAAGAGCTAGGTGAATAAGGCCAAAAACAAAATAACTCAAGTGTGAAAAAGGTCTGCCCTGCCCTAATGAAGATGCCTGACGGGACAGGCCGGAAAAAAAATAAAAATAACGTCTTACGTAGGTACAATCCTCTCCGGGGCTGCCCGTGAAAATAATCCTCCCCTTCCGGGGATGTCCAGTGTGTCTTCACAGCTGTGGCTCATCTTCTAATCACCAGAAAAGCTGTGACTACCTAGGTGAGGCATCACCCTTCCCTCCAGGACCCCACCTCCACACTGGACACGCCCCCGCGTAATGTCACATATGCTTTTACATTTTAGAATAATATCTTTTTCTGATAATCTTAGGTCAGCGTAAGCACTGGAAAAAATTAACAAAGCAAAGTATTGAAGTATAAAACTTAGTCTTCGCTTGCAAATCCTTTGCACACATTAACTGCATCAAGTCTGTGACCCACTGACATGAGCAGACACTTGATTTGTTCTTATGAGATGCTTTGCCAAGCCTTTGCTGCAGCCATTTTTGGTTGCTGTTTGGTTTGGGGGGGGGGTTCTGACTTCAGTCTACTTTTCAGAAAGAGAAATGCATGCTAAATTAAATTAAAATAGAGAGATTGACTTGCCTAATCTAAGATTTTTCATTGTTTCACCCGATGAACTCCTTGGTTGCTCTGGCAGTGTTTTGGGTCCTTGTCCTGTTGCATGATGAAGTACCAGTTGCATAAGTCTGGAGGCATGCACGCAAGATGTTTCTGTACACTTCTGAAGTCACTCAACTTCATCATAAATAAAGATAAGTGAGTCAGTTCCAGAGGCAGTATGGCATGCCCAAGCCATAACACAACCTCTTCTATGTTTCACAGATGTAGTGGTATGCTTTAGATCATCTATACTTCATTCCTTTTTCCACACTTTCACCTTGCCATCATTTTGGTAAAGGTTTATCTTTGTCTCATTTATCCATAACACTTTGTCCAATGATGCTACTGGCTCATCGTAGATGGCATTAAAAAATGCGATTCACCTCTGCACTGTGGACATTTCTGGTCATTTAAGCAACAGCCGATTTACAGTTTTTCTTCACAGCTCTGATAATTCTTGTATCAACAACTGAAGTTGTTTTTCTCAGCCAACCTGTTTGCTGCTGATTCCTAAGTACTTCAACGGTTTCTTTCTATTTCAAGATATTCCAAATTGTCAATTTTGCTATGCCGCGTTTCTGTGCTATAGTTCAGGTTAAAGTCTTTTCTTTAAGCATCCAAACAACAGCTTGCTCTATTTGTACCAAATTATATTTCGCTTATAAATATTTATTGGGGGGAAAAAGGCCCACACTAATTCAGAATCACTAGTTCACTGCGCTGTCATGGTATTACAGAGAGAAGACAAAAACTTAACATTAACCTAAAGAGGAAACCTTTTGCTTTGCTTTCTAACATGTGGATAAACTCTACAAAGCTGAAAAACATTTGTAGGGGAATCAGAATACACATCTTTGCCTATGCTTCAGACACTAATTGTACCCTTGATTCTTTACATATTTGTTCAAATAATCCATTGTATGTTTGTGTGGTTAAAAAATAACTGTCCATTTAATTCTCATATGTTTACAATTTACTCATTTTTAAAAATAAGACATGTTCACTTTACATTCTCTGCCATTCTGAATTATAGATATACATTTACTCAACATTCTTCTCAAACCCTTAAACATTAACAAGAGGCAATAAGAATACAAAAAAATTAGCACTGGAATTAGTATTTCTTTACCTTATTTCTTATTACCTTACAGTGACTATAATAGCTGTTAAACCACAGTAACCGAGGTTTTTATATGTTAACAATAAGGTTATCAGTTAGGTGTTTTTAAATGTTTTTTAACAGTAAAAGATTTTAATGTCAAACCCTAAAATTCGACAAAATGGACATATGTGGTAGGTGCTTAAAAACATTTCAAATTTTCTTCATTGATATTTCATCACAATTTTACAACTAATGTAATTAAACAAAATATTAAAAAAATAAAAACAAATATTCCAACAATTTTAGACAGATGGAGGTCACAAACCTTATAACCTCATATTAATAAAGCCCAGTGTCATGGCGAGAATGAGCATGGTAATCGTCTGGGCTTTTCTAAACAGGTGAAAACCTGAATAAATATATGGAAGGCTTCAAGTGCACTTGTCGAACAGCACAGTGTAGAATGAAAAAACAACAACACAAAGCCATTATAACACAAATTAAATGAAAATTATAACCTTAAGGAACATTTCAAATTCCACTGAATAGTAATCCAATATTCCAAAAATGTCATAAAAAACATATCAAAGTTAGGACTTGTGTGAAAATTCTCAATCTCTATTCTGCAATAATACTCTGACACACTGTACTGATAATGCAATTACCACCATTACACTATTAAGAAAAGCTATTAAAACTTTTTACTTTTCTACAAAATAAATAATACCTTGTGAATTGTAAATCCAAAAATAAATAGCAAAAGCCATTCTGAATATTGACCAAAAGACTACTTTGGACAACATTTTCTTAAACGCCATATAAAAAAAAATACATTGTAAAGAATAATCTTTTATATACACACTCAAACCCTCAGCAAGCCATTACTGAGTGTTGTTTTTAGCTGTGACAGCACTGGGGTTATTAATTTAAACACTGAGCCTGTTAAAGGTCACAGACAAGAAATGAATGCCATATAAATAGTGATTCACTTTAACCTCTTTACCAAATGCACAAAAATGCAATGCATCAGTGCAACAAATAGTAGCAAACATTATGATAGCTTCTTAGATTTTATCTATTAGTTTTAAATAAAGAGGATTTACGTGCTGTTGCTAATGCAACCTACATATTCACACCCAGTCTACAGGAAATACTGACATTTACATGAGACTAAAAACTGAAAAAAGCTAGAAGCAAAATAATGAAGAGTAATTATACTAGATATCTCGGCTGTATTCTCAAAACTGTTTATAAGATAAAGCCACACTCTTCCTGTCTTGTGCAAGGAAATAGTTAAAGGTTTAGACTGTAGAAGGGAGGAAATGAATATGAATAGGTCACGTGGGAACCCCTGCTAAGTAAGCAGTGACGTTTGAATGTTCTGTCACTGAAACGGTGTCTAAGTCCACAGTTAAACAGCTGCCTTCCCAGAGCAGCAGAGGAGCTCTTCATTCCTTTCAACAGAGGAAAATCACATCACACTGGCTGCTGTAAAGAAGAGATTTTTTTGTCCTGCTTTTCTCTACGATGGGCAAAGAACCTGCTTTTCTCTGCCATGGCAAAGGAGTGGTACAGCCTGAAGTAGTGGCTGTCTGAGATTGCGATCAAATACTAAAGCAGTGGAGGAATGGATACTGGACAGATAAAGCAAACCTCTTTGTAACGGGAAAACAAAACAGTCTAACTGCAGCTGTTGGGGCATGTTCACCAACTGGCCTTTTGCCAATCAAGTCAGCACGACGTTTAAATAAAGAAAAACTACTAAGCAGGCTAAACATTCTTAGAAGAGCAATACACACAAGAACTGAGAAAAAAAGAAACCTTGGGCTACGAAAAGGAACAGAAATGATGGCTGCAGTCTGACACTGACAGATGGACGGATGGGAAGCCAAGAATAAAAGAAAGAACACAAGGGGATGTACACGTGATTAGGGGAAAAACATTAATTTTTTTTTCGTTCATGGAATGATGGCGTGCCACCCCTTCCTGCAGAAAGCACAATTGTCTACCTACGTCAAAAAATTACAACAGGAAGAGGTATGTTTAACGATAATAGTATTTTTTTTCTTTTACTGATTTGTTGTCACAAGAGGCCTATTGTCTTTCTGAAGACCTTAAAAGTGCATCATGTAATTCAGAGCAGCGAGGCAGAGAAATTCAATGGATCTGATTCCTTTCCCAGCACCACCTCCCATCGTTCCGTCCACCCACAAGAACTGACAAATTGAAACCAAGCCGCTTCCTAATAGTTAATTACTGAATTGTAAAATAAATACAGTATTTTGCAACGGTCAATGGAATCGATCAGCTTGTCTGCTATTATGTTTTAACATATTTTGTTTTCCCTACATCCCCTAGATTAAATTGGGTCATAATGATCCTGCAATGATCCTACATTTCAAATGATTGTACTTTTTTACTTTTGTTTAACTATGTTTATGTACAGGAAAATTGAAAACACTTTACGTTACTTTATGCGCATCAGACCAGATGTACAAAAACCAAAGTAAATTGAAAGGTCCAATAAATTGCGTCTGATATGACACGCCGTGAGCTCAACCATCAAAACAGATCATGCAGTAAAATCACATTAACTGAATTGTATATCCTATACCATTTCTGACATACAATCTTATATTTTCCAAAGTACAATTATACAATTTTAGGGTTTAGACCAAACACTCTACTGTATCTCACTTAATTGGACTAGAAATAGTGATATCAACATACAAGTCAGTTTTGTCAATGTAAGTACAGTAATACTCCAAAACAAATTGTGTTAGCATTAAAAAAAAAACACTACATATATACAGACATAAACATGGAAAAAGATTTAAGCCTGTTAAAGAGATTAGTGGCTGTTGCATAATCTAGTCAATGCTCATTTATGCATCTTTCAGACAGTTCTATGTATTCTTTTTACCTCAATTACCAACACATAATAAAACTACTAATTTCAACACAGCAGTATATAATTCAGTACTAAAATGAATGAACAAAAATACTGGAATGTAAATAATTACTAGGTTATAAGCAACAGTCAATGTTTTAATTATGGAAATTAAAGATTTAAAACAGATAACATGGAGTACCCGCAAATTCTGTGTGTTCATTATCTATTTTAGGATGCACAAGTTTATGCTATAGACTACACAAACAGTATATACATACTTTGACAATATTATTACTATTATTCATGCCTGAATACAAATTTTACTAGTACTTGATATGGGAGATTTTAAAAGATTCTTTAATTTATGTTTATGGGTGTCAAGTAGGGGTACTGTATGGGTTAGATCTGTGTCACAAATGACCTTTAGAAGTTCCATTAATAAGCCAGAGGGCCCAAAGCCAGACGTGGCATGTCAAGTAAACATGTCACTCTTTGAACCATACAACTTTTAACAACTGAAAACGTTTTAAAAATACTTTTATGATTAAAATATTGAAAAATAATTTTACAGATACAGTTAAAACTTAAGAAACCCAGGTCCGTGAAGATTTGGAAAACTGTGAAGTGTTAAACATTTGTATTTTTACATCTAAAAAAATGGCAATAGACAGACAAAAAAAGTATATATACATATGAAAGCCATTCCTTGTTTAAATTAGTTTTAATTGATATAATTAAATATCTAACTGATTGTTAAATATCTAACAACATGGCAATTGTCTTTTTTGTTTTTGGCTTTTGGTTTTTTGCAATTACATTATTTGAATCTTAAGTCCGTTCCTTTTCATTTAGTAGGGGTGTGGAATACACCAAGCCTTACCTAGCTTTTGCTTCTGAACGCTGGCCTACATTATAGTAATATAGCAGGGTAAGCTCATTTGTTAAAAAGGTCAGACTGGATTGATTCTACTCTTAGCCAACACATTCATAGGGAAATGCAAACTCACAGAGTGGATATAGATTTTTAATTTAAATTTTAACACACTCTAGTCATAACTGACCATATATTTATAAAATGGCAACATATATAAGGCTAAAATATTCTAACTCTCTGGTACAGAATAGAATTTACTTTCCAAGATCACATTTTATGTCAATCTTCTTAAGGATACATAAACGATTTTAATTCCAGCAAAAACAAAACATTCAAGGCACCCCTTTTCTCAAACAAATATCAGGTTGAAGGTGAATGATGGGTGAAGACTTATCATTTGCTACTGTCTGCAGATTCTGCAGTGGAGCTTGCTGGACCCTGAAAATTCATTTTGACAGATGCATCTTTTCACTTGCTTTTCAAGCACAGCAGGAGGCTGATAGGAATAGGCCATTAGAGCAATACAAAGCTACAAGAGCACCATATTGTGTATGGGAAAATTTACATAGCTGTTAAGGGCCTTTTGACTAGCTTGCTACCACTTTGTTCATTCCAGATAAGACGTATACAGTTCTAATTTTTGGTATGCACCCAATTAGCCAAAACAGAAAGGATTTAAGAAAGTAATGCAGGTATTAATCATACATTTTACATATATTTATAACATGACTAAATTTAGTGAAGCACAATATAAACAGATTATAACATGGCAATGGTCTCTGTATATCTTTTAAGGTTCTGTATAGTAAACAAACAAAATGAAGCCCAGGACTGAAAATGATATAGCACTTGCAATTAAATACTTCAAGTTGAAAGCAACTGAAAAAACAAAAAGTTATTCAAAGTAATATACTGTTCAACCATGTTTGTTCTTCCCAACTCTCATAATGCATTTACCTGAAAAATTGTTGTTTTTTTTTTTCAGATGTCCAAGAGAAGCATAAACTGAAGAGAAGAACTGTTAAGAAACTGCATGAAAGCATGACAGCCAATTATGCTGATAAGCCAGAAAAGGAGTTCAAACTGGGTTACTTGGAGGGTACATTATCACAAATGTAGCTCTACTACAGGCATCAAGAAACACTGAATGTTTCTTTTTAATAACGGCTGCTCCATTTGCAATACACACGTGACTTGATTAAATGTGACAATCAAGCAGCGGGGAATTTTACATCTGCATCATGCAGTGGAGAAGACGGCACTGCTTCCTGAAAAAAATGACTTGTAATGTTAAGAGGTCACTTTTCCGCACACACATCATTGGCCTCCTGTGTCTAGTTTTTCTTTTCGGCATTTTCCTGTTCTGTAACCATGTGGACTGGCTGCCTGGGAGGACTGGCATGAGAGAGAACCCTGTGGCTTACACTGTGAGAGGATTCCGTTCACCGAAAGGTGAGACCAATCAGAGCTCACTGAGGAGCATTTGGAAGGAGACTCTCCCTGCACCTCCCAAGCCTCAGGTCACTCTGAACTTGAGTCATGCTGAGCTGTCTGTGCAGGGAGTCACTGGACTGGAGAACTCTTTGAGTGCGAATAACAGCTTGTATAGAAAGAAGGGGGCAGGGGGTGATTTGAACACACAGCCTTACCGGTACATCATCAATGAGCCAGACAAATGCAAAGACAGGAGCCCCTTCTTAATACTATTGATAGCAGCAGAACCAGGCCAAATAGATGCAAGGAATGCCATAAGACACACTTGGGGAAATGACACCATAGCACCAGGAATTAAATGCATACGTCTGTTTTTGCTGGGCCTGGGGAAAAATGGCAATGGTTACTTGCAGCGTTCTATTGTGGAAGAGAGTAGACAATACCGTGACATCATTCAGCAGGAATACTTGGACACATACTACAACCTAACCATTAAAACTCTTATGGGGATGAACTGGGTAGCTACACATTGTCCATATACTCGCTACGTTATGAAGACAGACAGTGATATGTTTGTCAATACAGAATACTTGATTCAAAAGTTACTAAGGCCAGATCTTCCACCCAGGCAGAATTATTTTACTGGCTATTTGATGAGAGGCTATGCCCCAAATAGAAATAAAGATAGCAAATGGTACATGCCACCTGAATTGTATCCTAGTGAAAGATACCCAGTATTCTGCTCTGGGACAGGGTATGTGTTCTCAGGGGACTTAGCTGGAAAGATTTATAAAGCCTCCTTAAGTATACGCCGTCTCCACTTAGAAGATGTCTACGTAGGAATCTGCCTTGCCAAACTGCGTATTGACCCAGTCCCACCTCCTAATGAATTTATTTTTAATCACTGGCGGGTCTCCTATTCCAGCTGTAAATACAGTCACTTGATTACCTCTCACCAGTTCCAGCCAAATGAACTTATTAAGTATTGGAACCATTTACAAAATAACAAGCACAATGCTTGCATTAATGCAGCCAAGGAAAAAGGCAGCAGACATCGACACAGGAAGCTGCACTGGAAAAGGGGTCTGTGATTAACTTTGTTAAAAATGTAAATAAGCATGTACAGAGGTCAGTTCTATAGAAGGTCACGCACGGTGGGTCTGGCACTGTGTACTGGTAACTGTCTTTAAGGAAATTATTTTTTTAAGTTTTAAAGAAATGTCATGTACTTGTAAAACTCTAATGTGATAGTTAAAGGGGCAGTAAAACAAAATATATCGGTGAACATGTGCAAGACTAAGCATGCACACAAATCTAAAATGTACAGTTGCCATTTCAGGTACCAGTAAGAACTATCAGAAACAACAACAAAAAGTATTTTTAGAGCTTGCTTAAGGACTATGCAAAGGGCTGTTTACACTGTTTGTGTAATTTCAATATGTAGAGTACATGGATGGTTCAAAAAGAAATATCCAGACCCAAGGAAAATTAATTTCAATTAAAAAAACTCACAAAGGATTCAAAGAGAAGAATCCCTCCAGAATACACTGTGCAGTACTCCCAGGAATTCATCTGACTGATCCAAGCTTTGGCGTACTAAGTACTGGTACATTTTAGGTACTACAAACCTGTTACACATTTTTACTTCAAAGAAGTTTATCTAGATGGTGTACTAGTTTTAAATTATCACCTCTTTATGGATGGAAATTACATGCATCACAAAAGATATCTTGATTATTGCTCAAAATATAGTGCTTCTTTGTTATAATGCTAATATCCATGAACACAAAATGAGGAATGGAGGCTTATGACTCACAAGCATGCAAACTAATATACACATATATTCCTTCTTTAAACTGCAGCTACACACTTCATTTACAAAACCTCAAAACAAATTAAATTCAACTAGTTACATACAATAGACTCTACAGTACTATACTTACAACAGCAGTCTCACAAGGTTCAGAGCAGGCAAGGTGAAGTATATTTGCACGGCATGCATTGCAGCAAGGAAGCAGTGTATATTACTCAGAGCAAAATTGTGATGAAAAATGTTACAATAACAAGCGCCAGCCAATGGAATAAAGTAAAATTCTGATACAAATTTATTAATTTAAGGTCTACTTTTTTATTCTGAAAGAATACAAACCGTTTATATTTTCCTGAATTCTTACAATTTGTTTCCTCACTTTGAGTTTGAAACCTATTTTTATATTTATCTGATATTCAATATTTTTTACAAATATGAAAAAATAATTGATTTTTAACCTACTAAAAAAAAAATACCGTAAAAGAGATTGTTAAATACCAGTGATAAAACTGCTGGATTACAGGGTAAAAGGACATTTATGTTATAACCGATGTTTCTTACATCCATTCTAAGAACTGAATTATGAGGAAAAGTTCCATATTATACGTCTCTAAAGTTTACTTTAAAGGTATTCCTTAAACGTGTGCCATACCAACACATGTATAAAAATAAACTTCATCCATAGAAGATCCATCATACAGAGGTGTCTTTACTATAACACAATTTTAGGGGTCAGCAGTAACAAGCTGTACTACTACTTTATAACTAAAAGACCACATTACAAACAAGTGCATTACTAATACATGGCTCATTATTACCTAATTATTAAACAGTACAGATCTATTAGACACAGAAAGCAAATACCAATACAGACCTAGTACAAGGGTTGTTAACTTGATCATTCATTAATAACACATGACTTACAGGTCACTCCTAAAGTAAAGTGGTACCTGAAAAATCAAACCTGCACTATAAGAAAACTGTAACAGAGAAGGAGAAGAATATAAGCTATTTCTTACTACTAAAACAAGCTGTCCACAGTCTAAGGGTATTATCTTAGCTTTAATGCTGATATGCTGCTTTAGCTATACATGAATTATTTTTTTTGCTTTCAAAACCTAAATGCTGTAATGTATTAAGTGAAACTATAAATAAAAAAAATAATACTCATTTACATTAGTAAGGTATTTCAATGTGTTGATATGGTTTTATCAACTTCACATTCACTTGAATGCCAAAATGCGCTCAGTTTTTTCTAACAGAACTTTAGAAAGAACGATGCTCACCCCACCACAGTGCCATAAAAGCTAATAATGCTTTCACATTCTTTTGACTAGAATCTAAACTAGAAGATAGTTTTAACACATATAGATTGGTTTCTATTACTTTACCTAATTTTTGTGCAACCAAATAAGCTGCAAATATTACATATTTTAGCATTCTTTACTTAGCAAATATTTTGATAGTTCCAAATATGGCATTGCATGTTTGTGGATTTGCTGATCAGTATAACATTTGCACCTGTACAGAGCAAGAAAATTACACAGGCTTGTAAATGTGCACTCTGACACTGTTTTCCTGCTAAAAAATGAGCTACACTGTGCAACAGTTATTCCAACAGAGATAGGGTAGGCAAAGCTGTCAAGCTCACAGGTACCTACCTAAGGTATAAACCAGGGCTACTACTGTTAGGAAAATCAGTGACAAGAAAATTCAGATGAGAGACAGTAAAATTTATTTTTGAGGACCCAAGGTTCACTCTGAATAAATTACACAACACGTCATTCATATTAGTACCACTAATACTGAGTCTTAGACTAGCACTGAGTTTGAAATAAATGATGTGGCATCCTAAAAGAGACCACATGTAAGGCTGTGCAGTTATATATATATAAAAAATTCTACATGGAAAAAGTCCATCAATATACAGACCCCTTCATAAGTATTGGTACAGTGAAGTTAAAATTGCTACTGTTGCTGTATACTCAAGCAATCAGGATTTTAGATGTAAAGATTAATCTGAGGCAAAAGTATCTTTTATTTTTTGGTATTTCTGTGTATATATACTTTAACATTTTAGAATAATTTCTGCATTTCATCCCCCCATTTCAAGTGAGCATAATTACTGACACAATGGCTCCTGTATTTTTCTTATTGGTCACATGTTTCCTGTTGCATTGATTATACACACATAAAAGAACTATAAATGGGAAGTGTTTAAACTTTGTTCTTTCAAATGGTGTCAGTATGCCTAAATCAAAATGAAGTCTAGAGAACTGAGAAAGAGAAGCAAGCAATTTGGGTGTGGAAAGTTAAAGAAGAAACCAGAACCATAGCACAGAAACTGGGCTTAGCATAATCAACAATTTGGAATATATTATATTAGTCTTTTCATCTCAAATCTTAAAAGTCTTGAGTATATAGTAAAAAAAACAGCCATTTTATATATAGCTGTTGATATCTCTAGATACTGCATTTTCTTTTGTCTCGAATGCCCATCCAAAAGGTGCAAAGGTGTATAAAGGAAAGACTAACAGAACAATCTTTTCACAAACCTGCACACCCAGCAGACTTAAATTTCCAGCAGGATTTGATATACATATTAAAAGTTTATATAATAAGATTACGGTTTCTCTTCTACTGATAGTACTTAAAGTTTAAGTGTGCTCACTGAAGTTGGATGCTGACCATATCATTCTTCCTTAAAAAACATTTAAAACTACTTTTACAATCAATCATTTGATCACTTCAGAAGGAATGTTCTATACATTAAGTCAAAAAGACACACAAGGGTCTTGTTTTCAATTTAGAATGCATATTGAGGGTATGAAATCTTGAGCTTGATCTGTTATGAATCCGTTATATACGAAAAGTACCACAGTTCACATTTATTCTTTTTGAAACTATATCACATGATTTAGCAGCTGGATTGACATTGCCTTTGCATATCACAGAGTGAATTTAGTGCCACAACAGTCACAGGGAGATGCTGTGAAGAAGTTGTCACAGCAAAATGAGCTCAAGGCAGTGTGCAAGGGTACCATTTTTTATAAATGCTTTTGCTGACAATATACATTATGTTCTAATATTTTTAATATCACTACAGAAAACTGTCATGCCGTGAAAAGCCACAAAGCAAGCAGTCTCAGCTAAAAGTTATGCTTCCTTTTGAAACGTAATTTCTACCTACCTTACTTTGACTGTAATTGCTTAAGGTAATAATGTAAAGTCAAAAGGGTGCTGTACCACCATGTGCAGCCAGTGTGCACCATATGATAAGCTCTACCAGCATCTGGAATTCTGTAGGAGGGATGCAGCACCAATTTTTCATGAGAAAGTCACACATATCCTAGTCGATGGAGGTGGAAAATGCTGTCTCAGGAGTCATTCCAGAATTTTTCACAAATGCACAAATGGATTCAGATTAGGTTACTGAAGGGCATGGCATATGGATAATATCAGTCAACTGCTCACCAAACAACTGGGCAAACCACACTTGTTCTGTGGATGAGGGCATTATCATCCTGGATTAGCCTTCAAAGGAAAGAAATGATGCATCATGGGGTGAAGATAACTCAGTATCATTAAGTAGCAACACTTTGCATTTTAAGGGAATGAGGGCAAACCATGCCAAGAAACTACACCTCAGAAGATTACAGAGCAACCAGTACACGTCCGATGCTATAACCATGCTCTCTGGGCTGCAGAGTTCTTTAGGTTGGCACCACATGTGCACTTTTTTCAAGATCTAACTATATCACATTTCTTCACTGCATGTGAGCCACTGTGTACGTGCCACTGAGCTCAAAAACATGTATTGTCAGGTATGATGACCAGTTTGTGTGCTGTAACCCAACTACAATATCCTGCACTGTGTAGTTTTTGGCAGACTGTTTTTGATTAAACTGGTTGCTGGTGCCCCAGGATGAAATTTGCAGTCTACTGATCTTTAGTTACCGACTTCTTTTGCTTTGCAATTTGAATTAATGCAGGGATATCCATGTTCCTAAAGTATGTAGGTATAGACAACCCGTCAGGTCCAGCATTTTCAGATGTGTCCCTAACTAAGCATAATAGAAATGTTATTTACTTAACTCATGAGCCTTTCCTATGTGGAAACTCTGCATTCAACATCAAAGCATTTGACTTTGATATAAGTAAACACCATCCATTTTTAAGCACCATTTTTTTAATCTGCTGGCCTTTCTAATTTTTTCCAAAGAGAAAATTTTTGAAATGAGAAATATTTTGGAAATACTTTAGTTTATCATACCCCTATAAAAAGTTAAATGTAGTTTTAATTTTGTCAAACTTTACTTTAATGTTAATTTTAAATGTCAAAGGACATTTGAGTAACATTTGCACTGAATTCTGCACATGCAACCTATTTCTTGGCTAAACCGTCCACGTCCACTTTACCCTGGGTGTTTCAATTGATTTTTGCAGCCTTAGTAAACACTGGTTTCATCAAAACGTAAGACCATAAAATACAAGCTCTTTTATGGAAGACTTGAGATGCACAAACCAATAAAGATTTGTTTTCTGAGAAGTAGTTGAGCCCTAGTTAAAAAAAAAATAACTTGCATGGGTTAAATCATCTTACGTTAAGTTGAATGACCAAAGATGCAGAGCACAATATACTGAATGCCTCCTGTGTTGAGTGAGTTTGAGTTGGATAGGACACCCTCATCTGCTGCAGTTCTTGACTTGCTTAGTAGTTGTAGCTACAAGCATGTTGTGTGTAGACAAGCATATCTCTTCTTCAGTACTCTCTATCTCTGTAGTACAGGCACTGCAGGACACGCAGCATGAAATGGTGGTATGCTCCGATAAGTACTGGAGTTGGACACTTCACATACAGCACATATCCAAGTTATAGTGTAAGTGTTTAAATGTGTTGCGGAATGTATGATAGTAATTACTGGAATATGTTAAATTAGCTGTGTACTACCTGTATTAGTTACCACAAGTCCTCGAGGTCTGTTGAAGTGAAATAAAGACTGACTTTGCAAAAACAGCAGTAACTGGTTTGCTCCTAATGAGGCTGTAAGAAGAAGAGATCAACTTCAAAGAACAGTACGAAAACCGTCTGAACCTAAATCAAACCGACTTTTGTCATGTACTACATGAAGCTACATTCTATAAAAGAGCTCAGATACCCTAGCAGTTTCAGTCTTGCAGAGCTGTGCTATTCTTTCAAAATCCCCCAAACAGATTCTCCCTCACACAACATGCTCAATATATTTAGTCAAATATTTAAGAAATTACAAAAAATATCTATTCTGAGACGTAGAAGCTTCTCTATTCTATTAATAAGATCTGTGTACACAAAGCCACATGGGACAATATTAGTAACAGCATCATGTTCAGGAAATTTGTTACAAAACTTTCTTCTTATGTAATGATACAATTCAGCTAGAAAAGTGAAAGCTGTTTTGAAGGCTTCCAGACAGTCGTTACCAGCTTACTTCAACATTAAGAGCAAACTATTAGTAAAACAAAAATGTTTCAAAGCTTCACCACGTTTGGGAATGTCGCAGATCCACATTTTGAAACAAAACCTACTCCTCTTCACCAGTTACTTTTATTGAATAATGATTCATGTTTGAAATTGAGCCGTATCCCCCCCCCCCATCACATTTCTAACCACCAACACTTAAGTGACCAAATGAGCTAATACAACTAAATCACAACAATTGCTATACAATTTATTTTAACACATTTTCAGGACTAATTTCTGTTTGCAATTTCACAGGTTTTCAAAGAAACAGCAAAGAATTACTGCACTTAAAGGACTATAAAAAGGGAAAAATTAAACAATTATAATAACCATCTAGAGAAATAAACATGGCTGGATTCACACCTATCAAGACAGACTATGTGTAATGGCATAACTTTTTTTGAGAAAACCATACACTAACTTTATGTCGACAGCAATTTAAATTCCTTGGAGATATTTATGCTGTGCAATTTTCTAGGCCATCAGCTAAGCCAAGATAATACCCACTAACATTTTCTAACAGATGGCATATTTTAACCGTGTTTCACATGGACTGGCAGATGGAAAGTTTCCAAGGATAAGCCAATCTCTAATTGTAATTTTAATTTGACATCAATACTGTCTTTCTAATGGGAATATGATCATTCACACTGGCCTCCAAACCCAAAGTTG